CTTTCGGTCGTTTTGAAGAAATGTCTCCTGTTCTAGAGAGACCAATATTAGTTCTTCCTGGTGGAAAAGTTTCATCTGGGGTATTTATACTTGGCTCTTCTGCGTGGAGGCAAATTTCTGGCGGTCCCGTTGAGATTCGTTTGTTTTCTCCTTCGATATCAAAGTCTGAAGGTGCTGAAACGTCTGTATTGAATCTTCCTTTTCGACCATCGATATCTGGGGAACTGGCTTGAATTTCAACTTTAGGTTGTTTTGAAGAAATGTCTTCCGTTCCAGAGAGGCCGATATTAGTGCTGCCTGATGGAATACGTTTTTTCATCTCCAGTGATTCATCAGGGCCCCTCAGGTCGAAACCAACATTTCCCTTACTCTTTTTGTACGGGTCGTCCTTGTCCCCATCTCCTGCACAAGACAAACAATTTACGCCCTTTCTCTTAGTAGAATGCAAATTTAGCTCTCCAGAAGGAGCATTACCTTGTACTGTAGGGTGTCTCAGTTTACCGTGTGATACGTCAGCATCTGGGGCTGAAATGTCTGTACCGAGTCTTCCTTCTGGACCATCGATGTCTGGGTAATTGGCGTCTTTTTCAGCGCTTGATCGTTTTGTAGAAATGCCCCCTTCTCCAGAAAGACCGATATCAGTGCTTCCGTATGGAATAGATACATCTGCGGCATTTTTACTTGGATCTGTTGCGTGGACGGAAACTTCTGGCAGCCCTGTTAAGATTCTTTTGTTTGGTCTTTCCATATCAATGTCTGGTCGAGTTGTTTTGAATCCCAAGTCAGTTGTTTCTTCATGGCCTTGAAAATCAGGTGCAGAAGCACTTATGTCCACTTTTCTAGGCTTTTCCGTCACTAGTGATCCATCAGGGCCGTTCAGATCGAAGCCAACATTTCCCTTACTCTTTTTGTAAGGATCGTCTTTATCCCCATCTCCCGCACACGATAAACAATTTACACCCTTTCTTTTGGTAGAAGGCAAATTCAGCTCTCCAGAAGGTGCGTTACCTTGTGCTTTAGGGCCCCTCATTTTACCATGTGATATATCAGCGCCTGGGGCTGATATGTCTGTATCGAATCCTCCTTTCGGGCCATTGATATCTGGGGAATTTGCTTCTATTTCAAATCTAGGTCGTTCTGTGGACATTTCCCCTTCTCCAGAAAGGCCAATATGAGTGTTTCCCGACGGAAAAGATACATCTGGGGCATTAATACTCGGATCTTTTGCGTGAAGGGAAATTTCTGGCGGTCCCGTTGAGATTTGCTTGTTTGGTCCTTCGATATCAAAGTCTGGTCCACTTGTTTTGAGGCCTATGTCTTTCGTTATTGCATGTCCTTGAAAATCAGGCCTGGAAGTATTTAGGGCCACTTTGCTACGTTTTTCCATCTCCATTGATCCATCAGGGCCGCTGAAGTCATAGCCAACATTTCCTCTTGTCTTTCCGTAAGGGTCGTCTTTGTCATCATCTCCCGCACAAGACAAACAGTTAACGCGCTTTTTCTTGATAGAAGGCACATTCAACTCTCCGGAAGGAGCGTCAACGTGTGCTCTAGGCCCTCTCAGTTTACCCTGTGATATATCAGCATTTGGGGCTGATATGTCTGTATCGAATCTTCCTC